ATCATCTGCAAATATAAGTAATTTATTGACTATTCCTTCATCTATGTCATTGATGTAAATCAAAAAGAGCTAAGGTCCTACGACTCAGCCCTGAGGTACCCCACTTGTGGTATTAATCTAGTTTGACTGAACTTCATATGTAACAACCCTTTGCTTTCTTCCATCCAGCCACTCTTCTATCCAATTTGCTAGCTTATCCCCCACACCTATAGATATAATTTTTTACGAGCCTTTTATGTGGCATCTTGTTGAATGCTTTGAGAAAATCCAGATACACAAAGTCTACACTCTTCTCCTCATCTACATAAGCAGTAACCTTTTCAAAACTTTTTCCACAACTGATGTAAGACTAATAGCTCTATAATTAATGGGACGATTTTTATCACCTTCTTTGAAAAGAGGAGTTACATTGGCTAACTTCCAATCCTCTGGTACCAGCCCACTATTCGAGAACTGACAAAAAAAAAATAATAGTAAGTGGCTCATATATCCAATCTTTTACCTCCTTCAAAACCTTTGGGGAAATATTATCTGGCCCAGAACCCTTATTGTTATTTAAACTTCCCAATTTTTTCTTAACCAGCTCAGAATTAATGCAGTCATCTTGTTTCCATCTATCAACTGGTCAAGATGTGGAATACTGCTTAAATCTTTGTTAGTAAAAACTGAAAAAAATGCAACATTAAATAACCCAGCCATCTCATAACCATCAGATACTAGCCTTCCTTTATCATCCCTCAAGGGTCTTACCCCATCCTAACAATTTGTTTACCCTTAATGTACTTAAAGAAATTCTTACTGTTAATTTTTAAATTTTCAGCCAACCATTTCTCATACATCCTTTTTGATGTCCAAATTTCATGTTTCACCAACTTTCTTATATAATCTACTAAATCGCTGGTCATAACAGTCAATTTAAAATTCTTAAATGTGGGATGCTTTTCTTTAATTTTATCTCTCATATCCTTTGTTAGCCAACCTCGGTTTTTTGTTGCAGCCTCCTTTTCTTTCAATAAGAAATATGTTTATCTTGAAAATTTAAAAATTTATCATTAAAAATTGTTTACATTTAATCAGTGTCTCCAAGTAACTCAGCTGCCCAATTCACAACAGATAATTCTTGTCACATCTTTTCAAAATTTGCATTTTTGAAATTTGTAACCAAAATACCATTATTTCTGATCTCCATTTGCAGCAAAACATTCAATTCAAATTTCTTAAATTTATGATGCTTTTCTTTAATTTCATCTCTTAAACTCTTTGTGAACCCACCTAGTTTTTTTTTACTTGCAGCTACCCTTTTAGTCATGTTTAGCAACTATAAATGGAAACTAGTTTGTAAATTACCGTATTTTTCGTAGTATCAGACACACCCTTATTTTGAAGACAAAGTTTTGGGGGAAAAAAAGCTACAGTTGCATTTGAAAGATTTATATTGAACAAAAATTCAATTTGATACTTTAAAAATTAGTATATATTGTTCCAAACATAAAAGAGCTCAAAACATGAAAATCAGAAAATAAAGTAAATCAAAAAAAGGTTTGCTGTTATTTAGTTTGGTTTAAAACCTACAAAATCTTCATTGCTTTCACTGTAATTTATTTTTTTATCATTTAGGGAGCATTATAAATAGTTATATTTTTAAAAGAAAAACAAAAATACTATTGTTATAAATAACACATTCAATTGAACTAAACTATGCATGCCTATTTAAATATATTTACACATGGTACCTGATGATGTCGAAACGTTGTACATTTGCTGTTGTGTTAAACTTATATTAAAGTTTTTCTTCATTATCCATTCCAGCCGTCTCCAAACATTATTAGTCTCAAAGTGGGTTCCTCGTCATTGAACCTGTATCTCATTATACAGTGTTTCATTGGCATCATTTGTGTAATTAGGTGGCCAGTAACACAAGTGTTAATCAAAAACTTTCTACCCAAAAAATCCCTGATTGTAACCCATATAAATGCAACATTTTGACTACCATTTTTGTCTCTCAGGCCCAATAGGCTTCTGTTTATCCCATATATAGTATGAATATAACCACCCTACCTCACCTCATGTTTGAAAAACTCATCACTATTAAATAACTTATAATCTGGAATAAAAAATCTCAAAACCTAAAAAAGCACATACTATATACCTGTGATTGGTTTTACTTTAAGTGTGCCAAAGGAATGTCCAGAATGTGGAGTCTGCTGTTCTCTTCCATTAATGTTTTATATTTTGGTATTTCAGATCATGGGAGAAGAAGTGTTACTCCAAAAGCTCAACTCGTATATTACACTTGTAAAATTATATGAAGAACATGAGACTCAAGGTGAAGCTTTGAAATGTGTACCTTTGCATAAGTTAAGAGAAAAAAGTAAAAAACGATTTCTAAATTTTTGTACACAGAGTGATAACATAGTTGATGAAAAGGATTGCCTTCTTATTGAACTTTTACATTGGTTCAAAAATGAATTTTTTTCCTGGATGGACACTCCAAGTTGTCCTATTTGCCAAAAAAAGACACAGAATAGAGGATCAACTGTTCCTTCAGTGGAAGAAGAAAAATGGCTTGCACACCAAGTTGAAAGTTACTTCTGTGAAAGTTGTCATAAAATTGTTAAGTTTCCTCGTTATAATCACCCCAAAAAATTGTTAGAAACAAGAAGTGGCCGTTGTGGTGAATGGGCTAATTGTTTTACCCTTATTTGCAGAGCTTTAGGATTTGAAGCTCGTTTTATATTAGACATAACTGATCATGTCTGGTCTGAAGTATTTTCAGATTCTCAAAATCGGTGGTTACATTGTGATCCATGCGAGAATGTGTGTGACAAGCCATTGCTATATGAGCTAGGCTGGAAGAAAAAACTTTCTTATGTGCTAGCCTTCTCAAAAGATGAGGTTCAAGATGTTACATGGCGATACACAACAAATTTTGAAGTTGTTCTGGAACGAAGAAACTTGTGTGATGAGGCATTGTTAATTCATCATCTAATGAGATTAACTAGCCAATTGCAGTTGGGCTTATCTTCTTCAATACGTGAGCAATTACTCAAAAGAAGAATTCAGGAATTGTGTGAATTTTTAACTCCACCATCTCCATCGGGAGAGGATTATTCAGGCCGACAGTCAGGTTCTTTGTTGTGGCGTCTTGCACGTGGAGAGACTCAATGTGAAGGAATTACAAAACACTTTATATTCAGATTAGATAGTGATGAGCAACAACAAAAACTTTTTCGCCTAAGATATTCAGCTTCTGAGAATAATTATGTAAGAGATTCAAGCCATGACAAAAAAATCATTGGGTGGGAAAATGGAACTCATCAGCACAAGGATGTGTTTAGAAAAGTAGAACATGACTGGAATATGATATATTTAGCACGTAAAGAAAATTGTGATATTGGAACTATAACCTGGAAATTTGACTTTGAAGATACGGAACTTAGAGTGAATGAAGTCATAATCTTATGTCAGAGTGAAACGTTTGAAAATGGTATTGTGGAATGGGTGTTAACCAGTGAGAAGCAAGAAATAAATATATCTGATGGTGAGTTGATATATTCCTAGACAAATGAATTGTCAATTTATGACTGCTTGTTTTCTTTTGATGTCATACGAGTATTTTCTGTTTTTTAGTAAATGTATAATGTGTTGGTGAATGTATGAACATATCATATTGTATGTTCTGATGCATATCCACATGAATCATACAGTTTTTATCTTAAGGTTAAAACATATTTAAGAAGGAATATTAAGCATAATGAAAAAGTAGAACAAAGGATTGTGAAATTGTTTTAAACATTCAAATCAACTGAAAAGCTTGAGTGCTATCTAAGAGTGGGCTGTTCTTCTTCAGGAGCAGAAAGAAGCTTCTGAAGAAGTAGTCCTTTCTTTAAAAATGCTCAAGCTTAGTCAATTCTAGTGTGATTTAGAAGAGTATTTTGTCATTTATCCTATCTGGATTGGTGAACACCTTTTAGGTGTCAAGATGCTTGACTTGTACTCATTCTGCATTTACTGTGACATGGCCTTAATAGGAAACTGGTGAAATCCATGCCTACTCACTGTCATCCAGTGATGGTATTGAGGTAGTGGGATTTACTTGTGGCTGTGTAGCCCTTAGCATTACAAAAGCTTTTCATGATGTGGTCACCTTGGGAGGGCAGTCTGCCCAAGGTACAGCCACTGCAATGGCTACTGCAGACTTCAACTCCTGAACAAAGCTACTACCTTGAACCTTGTCACCACAGGTGCTACTTCTACTATTATGTAGATATCTTTTATATGTACAAGATGTCACATTATTTTGCTTTGTAAACTTGTCTAAGAGAATGTCTTAGTGATCTGCAAATGTCTTAGTGATATATTACTTTCCATGTAGGCAGTGCATATCCTTCATATAAGTGGCCAAGTGGGACCTTTCAGTCTTTGAATTTGGCCCATTAGATAGCTTAGTTTTTCACTAGGTTGAAACATCAATGCTAATTAGCTATGATTATAACCATTCACCATATTTATCCTATTGCTTGATCAAATCATGATCCAAGCTAAATATGAAGCATTACACCACTTTTCCTTGAATCCAACCATTTCAAGCAGTAACATGCTTAAACATATAATTAAGCAGTACAGCTGTTAATTTGTTGTACTATTGAATGTTGGGGGGGGGGGGGGACTTGTTTCACCTTACAAGCAGGAACCTCTGGTTCTAAAAACAAAGCATTTCCAGAGGCATCTCAGCCAATATTAGCCCATGACATTTAAGATATCAGGTATGTTGGTTTTTCTGGTACCCAAGGAACCTCATATTTCGGTAAACTTTAGGCCTCAGATGTTGGGTTGGGCATAATAAAGAAATGCAGAGGGCAGCTCATCTGCAGATTATATTTGATCCAGATAGTCCACATCAGTAGTGGTACAACCACGACCAACTTGCTTCCCTTCATGAAGAGGCTTACGTCTGTCCCAAGAGTCACCATCTTCATCTCTCTGTGGAGAAAAAGCTCTGTCCACCAATAACATTTCTGGTCATTTGTCTAGCCACAAATGATGCAAGACAGGATTGTGGTTGGGTCTAATCTAATTTCTAAGAGTCTGGGTATCCTTTAGAGACTACCATCACGGTATCAATCTAAGATCAGGGGCAGAAACAGTTCAACACTGTTGAGATTTCCCATTCACAAGTTTGCAACTGTAATAAGGTCACAACCATGATCTTCAGAGCATTGTTAAAAATCCTAATCCAGGAGTGGATTTCTAGACCTTGCTACTTTTTGAGACAACCTCTTACATTCATTGATAAATTTGTATTGTTGCTTATAAATCTTTAGAAAATTTCACCTGTCTTAACTTGAAAAGAAATAAAAGGGGGGGGGGGCAGAAACACTACAATCTCATACTCTCCTGGTTAAATATTGAAGACTGCATTCTCTTCTTGTTCTTTTTTTTAATTCATGTCACTTCTTTCTGTAGTGAAAAAGGAGGGGGCTAAGAATGCCCCAGTTGTATCTTGTTCAGCTTAGCTATTTTAACACTAAATATTTATACATCTTTATGTAATTTGGTTCTTTGTTGTATATTACATACTTAGGGAACTTAGCATTTTATGTAACTTTGCTGTTCTATCAATAACCATATCTTTGTATGGCTGGTCCATTTAGTCTAACTTGGCTATTTTTTAAATTGAGTGTTTTGATCAGATACACCTGACTAAAGATATATTCTATACTGGTTTTGGAAAGATGAAATTAGTAGTTCTTTCAAATGCGACATCATTAGAAGAAACCCCTAGCATTTACATGTAGTAACAAGTTCCTGTTGTTCAATAACATACATTTTATAAAAACTGTTATATATATATTATAAAATTTTATTCAGTGCATCTTACAGTAATTTACTCAGTTTCACTCCAAAATAATACTGTTACAATATCGCTGTAGTTATTTTGGTTTTAACACATAATTAAAAATGGCAGATTTACCATTATTTCACAATTGCACTAGTATTATTGGAAGTTACTATTTCTGGACATATTAATTGTAATTTTACTTTATATTCCAAAATGGTACTACCTCTTTTTGTACAAAGCTATCTTGACCTTGATTTGCCCTCTAAGCAATACTAACATTTTCAAGAGTGCACCAGTTTTTTTATACCCCTTCATTTTTGTGCCATTGCAGCAACATGTGCTGACCATTTGACCACCCTCCACCAATCATACTGTACCACTTACATTAGTGGATTTAGCTCCCTCTACCATTGCAGCACAATTTTCACATTCTCGATTGGCATTCTAGTGTATAGATATGTGTTTTAACTCATTCTCCATGTGACTACAAGATTTTGATTGTGCTTGATAACAAATTTATCTGATTTTTTGCTGATTTGTTATGACTTTTTTTTTGAGGATTTGGGGGATACATAAGGAAAGGAGATAGATTAAGTGCCCATTGACTTCACCTATAATGGGGTCCTATGAGGGGAGTCACTACAGTGCCAAACAAGGACACTGCAGTAACACCAGTGCTACGTGAGCACTATACCCAAACACCAGCAGCAGACACAATGTTCATAACACCCATTGAGAACACCCAAGACTGGTACTCAGTTGACCCTAGACCAACAGAACCAGCCGACTGGCCCTGGGAGGCCACCTCAAGACCACCTGTCTACAGGAATCCAAGTCCAAACTTCAAGTTTTGATTTCTTGTGTGATTTCATTGTTTCTATTCTGTTTTAGAAATGTTTCTGTTTCTGAATTCCACTTAGTTCTTATGAATTCAAGATTTAATATGGTGGATGATGAAATTCCCACCATAAGTAGAATACTAGTCCCCAGGTCTCAGGGTTGACGATGTCTGATGGGGAAGCACAGGCTTTAGTTTGCAGGGAGTTTGTGTCTTACGCTTGGCTGAAAATTTTTTCCTTTCATGTTACGATTTTTGTGAAGAATGATATAGCTACTGTGTAGAAATTGTCCTTCAACAGCATTTCCAACTGTTACCACACCACCACGTAATCTACTGGGTTAGATATTGTTCTTTTTCCTAAGAGATCTGTGCTACATGTTTCAGCATGTATTTCTCACTCCCTGTAGGTATACCCATATTCATTGACTATGCGAGCTTGTGTGGATGGACCTAATTTCTGCATTTGATAATTTAGGCCATTCACATCTTCTCTGCTCAGTGTTGGGTAAGTTAGATTTTTATACTTCTTTTACCATCTAGGTTAATTTAGTTTAAACTTGTGTTTAGAGTTTGATTATTCCTGTTTTTGTTTGCATTTGTACTTATTTTCACTGTTAATGTTATTTTGTTTGTAAGTTTCCTTTTTCTTTACTACCAGTCACATCTAATTGAGGATTAAATTTGAGTTAAACTTTGTTATTGTTAACTAGGTACATTTTTATTCTCATGTTCTTTAGGATTGGTTTTATTTTTATGTCCTTTGTCTTATAGATTCTTTGGGTGGACTTGTATGTTCGATACTTAAGGGTTGTTTATCTTCTTTGTTCCTTTAGTGGTTTTGTACTTTAGGTGTTACTTATTGTTTTAAGTTTTAGGTTGACTTTCATAGTTTTGCAAGTTTGTTATTTTTATGTACTTTGTAGACTTTACACATTTCTGTTTTGTTAGTTCATTAGTAATGAATACTTTCTCTAAGTTTGTTTAGTTATGTGTCTTTTTGTCTGCACTTCATGACAGTTCCATGGATTCTGAAGGTTTCTGTTTTGCTCCCCTTCTATCCACTTCCCAGATCTCCTTCCCTCTTCCTCGGGTACCTTGTCCAATTGTCTTGCCGAATCTGTTCAAGACCTACTACATAAAGGAGCTATAGACCGGATGGTGCCCACTCAACTAGGAATTTACTCCTGTCTATTTGTTGTCTCCAAAAACACAGGAGATTGGAGTCCCATCTTAGATCTTTCTTGGCAGTATTCTTATCTGGAGACACCTTAATTCACTATAGAGTCCTGCATCTCAATTCGGTGGGTTTTTTTGCCCCATATCATGTAACTTTTCTTTGGTTCTTCCACAAGGGTTGTGTCTTCCAGTTCTGGGTGCTGCCATTAGGTCTTCTTCAGCTCCGTATGTTTTGTCCAGTGGTATGGTCATTTGCACATCATCTTCACTCACTAGGTCTTTGGACTCACTATTACATAGATGACTGGGTTTTGCTCACCTCTTCCCATACCCAGTCTGTCAGTCACACCTTCTTACTTCTTTGAGAAGATGCTTGGGTGGGATTTCCCATCTTGTTGGAGAGATCCTTTACTACTCCCTCACTGTGTCTTATTCATTTGGGAGTTCTCTTCACTTCCCATCTTGGTCAAGCCCAGCCTTCTCCACTTTGGCTCCAGTATATAGAGCAGGCAGTCATGAAGGCTGTACCTTCTCCTTTTCTCTCTGCATGAGAAGTTCTATCTCTTTTGGGTTGTGGGCTTCCTTGGAAGCTCTCATTCCCTTAGGTCAGTGACACATGCATTCCCTTCCTTGGATGCTTCTTGCTCAGTGGAACTTCCCACAAGATCCCTTGGACTATCCCATCTCCCTTCCATCTGGGATAAGGGCCGACCTTGTTTGGTGGCTC